TTAACGCTTAATTAAGTATTTAAATAAGAAAAAGAGAGCTTATAATAGCCTTAATAATAGGCTTAATTAAGGGGTATATTAGAATAGGTTACTTATTATAAGTATAAATTACGTACGTATAATTAAATAAGGGTAAACCCTTAACTATAAGTAAATAACCCTAATAATAAGCGCACTTATAAAAAGAGCGCATATAATACTCTCTTTTCTAGCTAGACATAAACTTGTATATATATATTATCGTTACAATTAGTGCCCTCTAAAGTGTGACAGGTAGGTTAGGGTGTAGGCCTAACATTAAGGTGGGGCATGGCATTAGCACGAATAGTTAGGGTTGGTAGCACGAATAGCGCGGCCCAATAGTCTCTGGGAACTGAGGCTACGGGGTGTCGGGGGAGGCGTATTTAAAGGATTTATTACATCGCCACGCATTGAGTTGAGGGAGCATTACTCTTTCTAGTTAACGTGACGCATAATTATACAAATTTAATTATAACTTTTGTGTATTTATTATCTAACTTTATTTTATTATTATTATACTTTAATACTATTATACTATTAATAGTCTACCCTTTAACGTATTTAATAATAGCTTTCGTTTATAGTATTATAAATTATTATTTAAGCTAATAGCTCGTAATATAATCTTAATTCCTACAGGTGCTCTGTAAAAGTCTCGCAAGTTGGAATCTTACGGTTATAAATTGATCTGACAGACAATCTATCACATACGACCATAGCCGCCAGCAGAACTCACGATCCCGTCAAGCTCTTCCCCGGGGTTCTAATGCCTCCAGATATGGAGGAGTGTGCCTCCAAAAATGGAGGATGTGGTGTCCGTTTTTGCAGGACTGGGAACCAAGAGTTGGTGTGGGAGGATTACGGTTAGCCGCCGTTTTTTACGTGGGCAATAAGGAAACCAGATGACGCCGACACCGGTGCGATACATGTTCTGTAGTGCGTTAGAGCCACTCCCTTCCGCTACGTAACCCCTGATTACCTGCAGGGTTCAGACTTTTCATCTGGCCAATAGCTGACTGTACCAAGCAGCACCGCCGTATGACACCCATGTTGTCCAGTCTCCCATTCCAGTAAGCCGCACAATCTCCCGTGATTATAATTGCTAGGTATTAGTTACACTAAATTGAGAATTTATGGTTCCTCACAGTTTACCTTCGCTAATAGTGGAAGACTGTCAGAAATCTGCTTAATTCTCCTACTACAATAGTCTGCTACCTCCCCGCATGCTAGGCACGCTATTAGTTTGCGGCCAAGTATGGCTTACATGCAGCACCAAAGTAGGCGGAGAAGTGGTGGGCCGTTGCAATTGAATCTGCTAAGCAGCCCGTTATGTACAGTCCTCAAGGTCAGCAACACTGCACCAACGGGAAACGGTAGAACCACGGGTCTCCTCCGCCATTGCCAGTGCATCTTCCATCTTTTGGTATGCAAGGATTTCTGCGTCGTCGGTCAATCCAGCTCCTGTACCTCCGCCTATATGACTATATGGCTCAATAAGATTGGCGTCATGGTGACCCTTTGGAGTTTCAAGTCAAAGTTATTTTGCATGGTGGAGGCGAAAAGTTATCTACTTGGCCTCTAAGAGTGACCGAGGACTTCGAGAGGCCCCCTGCACTACCATACATCTGATAGATCCGCTTATCGTTGAAAGCGGGAACGAGCCTGGTCATAGTGGCAAAACCCCATTTCTCATCCCTGGTGGCAATTTTGACCATATATAACACAACATCGTTCCCCAGGCCCTTCCACTTTAAAGGAGGAAAAGAAAATAACTAGTCATTAATATCATCATTGCACTATTTCACACAAATTTGACTTCCAAGAATGTTACCCCACCAGACTGATGCCCCAAGACCATCTTATTGCCATGCAGCGCTACTGCAGAAGCCCTGTAATCTGCAGGTAGCCATAGACTTTCCTTGCCACCCAGAGCTATCCACTCATTGTCGACATTCAAAGTATGACCGGGAGGATTACCATCAGAACAATGTTCTGATGGCGCAGTTGTAGACGACAGCTGGAGCGATCCCAAATTCGTGGTAAGGTATCTGCCGTCGGGCGAGAAGGCCACGGCCGTGACCCAGCCGTTATGTCCCTCGAGCGTCTGCCGGTGTGCATCCCAGTGGGCCTTGATTCCTGCCACCATCTAGATAAACGGCAACCTATGCTCCCATTATGCGGCTCTGACCTCGCTTGTCGCTGGGCTGAATACGAGTGCGGAGGCGTATATCTGCAGAGGAGCTCGTTCTATAATTGACCCATGGCTCCGGATAAACGCTTTGACATCTTCTAGGAACCGAGCAGGCTCAGAACTTGCACTTGATTTCTGGAGGGAATTAGCAGCTGCAATAAATAAAGAGTCATGAGCATACCTGGGCAATATGCAGAAGCTTTCTGATCGTCTGCATCCCTTCTGGGAGCTTTCCCAGGAGGGATAGGCTTTCGAGCCAGTGCAGGAGACTCTGCTTCAGAAACGTAAACGCCAGCGCACTGTTACACTCGGGGCTTTCGCCATTCCCGACGAGGTGGTCTGCCTAGAAGACGCAGGAGTACCGTATTAAAGCTAGCGGGTCTGGCCGGGGGATTATCGTGTCCTTCGGTTTAAAGCCGTAATCGAGGTTGTACATGTTTTGCCGCAGAACCGCGGACATGGCTTCAATGGAGCGTCTGGCGATATCTGCGTGTCCTTGGGCAGCTCCAGACGGCTGGAGTCTAAGTGCGAAGTTCTCATCCAGATAGTTCTTGGCAGACTGATGAATAAGGTAGACTGTTTCCTCCCTTGTTGCCAGAAATGAGCCGCATAGCTCAATAGCCGTCACTGTAATATCGTCTGGCATGGCAGAAAGAGCAGCTAGCTCAGATACAGAGAGCGGACGGAATGCAAGAGCAGCGCACACCAGAATTCTCTTGCAATCCTGGGGGTCTACCTCTTCCACTTTCTTAATCCTCGTCATCATGTGGTCGTATAGCTTTGACAAACCTTAAGGCATGGCTTTAGTGCGCTGGACGGCGTAGCGTCCATGAACTGTTTCGAGAACTTTAAATGCGAGAGCTACCTAAAGAAAAGTGTTCAAGGCTTTTTAACGGAGTTCATTTGAGACCTCATTTAAAACGATCGGATTGTACCCACGCCTGCCCTTAAGGGTGGAGAGCTTGTGGTTGATGTACACGTTAACAGGGCCTGCCAGAATTTGTGCATCCAGCTCGACGAGGCTCTCTGAAATGTCCCGAGTATGGGTGTTTAGAGTCTTGAGTCTGGCAATAACATCGACCTCCGGCCGGCTAGAGACTAGCCACCTTACCTTATTGGATCGACTAATGGAATCTAAAATGAGCTGAAATAATTCATTTAACCCTGGTTCTGTTCTATCGCACTTATCTAGGGCATCTACCATAAAAAGGACAGGCGACAAGTTAGGATCGGTTAGTATACTTTAAAACGCTTTAAAGAGCGTAAAGAATGCGTTCCCATCTCGGAAAAGAGCGGGGCCAGAGTCCTTGTACTTTTTGCGCAGGTGTGTGATGAGATGCGGTTGCGCTACTAGAAGCATCCAGACCAGGGACCTCAAAGCCGCTATTGCGCTGTTTAGGGTTGTGTCTGTAGCTTAACAGAAGAAATAGAAGAGCTCAGGTGCAAGAAAGTCTTACTGCTACTCCAGGCTGCGAATGATGCCCATTAACAGCATCGTCTTTCCCGTGCTAGCAGGTCCCTTAATCCATAGCAGTTAACATGGATCGCGGTTAGGCTGGTCATCATTCCATCAAGTGAGAGCTTCATACTGCTCTGTGTTAAGGATCCAATCGTATGCATCGGCGAGCAGTGTGTCTTTCTTCATCTTAATCTTCTTTATGTCGTCCTTCAGGTCAATAACGCGAAGATCCCACCGGCATTGTCTGTTAATGTCATTAAGTTGCAGCTCCTTTTAGAGAGCTAAAAACTCTTGAAGGGTTTGATATATGTCCCCAAGTAACCCCTCCATTCCCTTGGCACGCTTGACAAGCTACGCTAGGGCGCTTTTCGCATGGTGCTTATTGTACTGGTCGGAATCCCTCTGAAGGGTAGCTTCTGCGTTTGTGACGGTCTTTAGATTATCGTCCCAGTCGTCCCAATTCGTAAGGCCGCGGAGAAAGACGAGGCCCTGGTGTCGGTAGTAGGAGCAGACACTTTTCATCTGATACAGGAGGAGAGCCCTGTAGAGCGCGAGGGTCTTCGCTTTCAGCTGGGGTAGAATTGAGCCAAAAGACTCGTTAACGTAATCCCTGTTTAGAAGATGCTCGGTGAGGGCATAATACCAGTCCATTCTAAAGACGACGTGCGAGATGCTAGTAAGATTAGATTTCGTCGCTTTCGCAGGATTTAAAAGGATCTAGATAGAGATTAGTGGACGGAAGTCAAGGAAATGCGAGGGTGTCGCTCACCTGCAGTCCGATACATACGCTAGCCTATGGAAGCGTAGCTTACGGGATATTTTGGATGGCTTCGTTGATTATTCCCTTAGCTAAGAGAATGAACTAGGTAACGTTGCCCACTCCCTTCGTAACATTTAATGGCGTGGAAATCTTCGCCTAGCTATCCTCCACTAACTTCTTCATAAACATCTGTCGCTTGGCCGGATCTTTCAGATTGGCTGAGACCTTAGCCCTAGAAAGGAGGCTAGGTTTAGTTCTAAGAACTGTCATTAGGGTTTTTAAATAAGACTTAATAAGCTTTATAGTGTCTTTATCCTCCTCGAGACTGTCGTAAGCAGCGTTCTAGAGTTCCTGAGATTTAGAAAGGGCTGTGCTCTGCTGCTCTGTTGATTCGCTCCCTGGTGCGTCTTTGGGTTGGCGTTCGACCGTCTGAACTTGTGTCTGTGTAGTGTTGCTAGGCGGTTTCGTGGTCTTTTCGAGAGATGCCGCGTGAAGCGGGCTAGCCTCGTTGGGTCCCTTCTTTGTAGCTCGCGTTGCCTTAGCATTGGTCAAATCGGAAGGAGCATGCGGCTCTATCACGCTTCTGGAAGGCGCTTTCGAGTCGTGCTTGTCTCCCTGTTTCCGGGGATGGGCCTCTGCTAGAAATATGAGTTCCAACACTCGCAGCTCCGCCGTCCGGAATCAACGTACCTACAGATTGTCCAAGACAAGGGGGCTGCGACGCTGCACCACGTCGGAAGAGGCTCTTGAACCTGCTCCTAAAGCCATTCTCGCCTATGGCTTCGACAATGACGCTTAGCGAGCCAATGAAGAAACAGGGATAGTATTGAAACGGCAACAATAGTGTGACGTATGACGTAGTGATGCAGAGGCTCCAACTTAGTCCTCAGTCACAAGAAAACTAAGGCTGGGGTGAGCAGGGAAGGCCTTTCTCCGCTGCAGGTAAGACCGCCTACACCGTGAGCGATGAGCGATGAGGTTTATGAACAGGTGTGATGAATCCAGAACTGGTCAGAGCTCGTGGAAAAGCAAGGAGGATGGGTAACAAAATGCAAAGACCAGACTGAGGGACGGTAGGCAAGTCGAGCGTGGGCCATACTTGTATCTACGGCGTCTGCCCTCATTGTAACACGCTGATGTTCTGGTGTGGTCTTTAGCTCCTATTAGCATCTGCCACGCCAGTTCAATAGGCCGCCATGTCTGGGTTGGCTAAGGCTTTGCCTTGTTGCGTGTGAATATCACCTATCCCTGTCGTCCTTGGGTCCGTTTAGAGCTGCGGTACGACCCGACGCTACAAGCCCCCAAGGGACTGCGGGGCGGCTGCTCCAATCAAAAAGCTCGCAGTAGCACTGGCAAGGGAATGGACTTGGATCGTCGGAGCCGGATTGGTTGGCCCGGAAAGCCAATGTGCATCCCCGTGTCGGTGCAGGCCTGAGTGACAGGTCAAATCCCAGCGCCAGCCAGTTATCCTAACTGTGCCGCCCGGATACATGACGGGGGAGAAGGGTTATCGGCAATAAGCGGAACCGTGGTTCCGAATCCTTCAGATCCAATAAAAGTCTTCAAAGTCTAACAACAGTCTCTGAGTTGTCAGTTTTCCAGACGAACGACCCACCCAACCACTTAAGCGTCCGTCGTGATGACGCGAAGCAACCTCCGCCACTACATGGGTGCGATCTTGGAGGTGATCGGCCGAATGACTGTACTGTGGACGAGGGGACTTCGCCGCGGCATATCCTTGCAATGCAGATGAAGTGGGCACAAAGTCGAGTGGTTTCACAATGTTCCGCTACGAGCGAACTATGTCCCAATCCACCGCAGACTGCTACCCTTAATCTCAATTCAGGGAACCAGTTTATCGTTAAGCGCGGATGGCTGACGTTTCTTAAGCGGAGAAGAAGGTTGCTAAGCCGAGTTACTCGTCGGTGGTGTAACCCGCAACGAGGCATCAGGTAACGACTCCTTAACTGAGCCGTCCACTCTCTCTAGCTCGTAGGGCGTGAGACTAAGCACGGCACGGACGCGTCGCGCCACGACCTGACCACGACCAGCTCTTATCTCTCAACCTGCGTTGTACTACACGGAGTATGGTGACTTGACTGTTGCAGGATTTCAAGTCACAACTTGCGTTAAGGAGGAGCTGGCACGTCGTGGCTAGCATTCACAACTGGCCCTGGCCACAGGCTAGCCTGCACCGCTATGTCCCTGCACCGCGAGGCTCTTGTGTGGCCGCGAGATCTTTGGCATGACCTGTATGGACCTGTATCGAGTTTGGAGAAGAGCTGGATGTTCCTTAAGCCTCTCTCGTGTCGCCCGCTGGACACTCGCTTTTAGACTAAACGTCTCGTCTGTAAAGTGGCCTGCGCCTGCGCTAGCGTTAAGGTCGCCGGTCGTGGATGCACTGAGAATGGCGCTTGAACTTATCACATACACTTTGCTTTAACCTCCCGAAACCGCTCAATCTTAAACGATAGGAGATTGTGTTAACGGCTCAATGTCTCCCTGGCCACATCCACCTGCGAGCTCCCCGTTTCCCATCACATGGGATTATCAAGACTTCGCGAATGTCCACGGCATTTCTCCAGCTTTACATTCGTTTCTACACATCATTGACCCGCCCGCCAATATCGTAGACTCGTGAGGCCCTCACTCGACGGCCCTCTGGCAGAGACCACATCGGAGCACGCAGGGCTCGCTATGATAGGAAATGCAACATCCGGCTTTGGTATGTCCGCAGAAAGGCCTGCTCTCTCAAGAATATCGACAAACATTAGAGCAGCTAACATGTTCTCGTAAGAGCCCGAAGAAAATTGTGAGTTATCATTAGCCGTGCGATGCAAGCTTAGCGATAAAGTCCGGCAAGTTGTGTGAGGAATACGCCACGATTATCGAGTCTTTAGTTCTGCACATTAAATCGTCTCCCAAGTGGGTGTAAGGCATTCCTAGACCGAAAGTCCTAAGCAATTAGCACATACCAGATGACTAAGGAGGACTTCGCCAGACCAGATCTTCAAGGCTGGTGGAAGGAGGATCTTAGCGACTCTTTGGCTGCTAAATGGGAAGAATGGAGGAGAGAAGGCGTGAAATTCAAAGACTTATTTGCCAAGACAAATTCATATACAGATTTTTGGGTGAGCGCTGCGAAATCTATCCAAAGTGTAGGGAGATACGCGACAGGAATAACGCAGTACTACTCTTTCAATGCTCCGGGCACGGAAAATCCGCCACCTAGCAAGGCCGAAGACCGAAAAACCTACCGCCATGGTCGGATCGTTTACGGGACACTCAAGCTGACTTCTAAATTATGTACATATTTTGATGCCGCTGCAATTGCTCTTTTCACAATCTTGGAAGGTAAGTCTATCCACACGTCAATATTCAGGTGTAACGCGCTTATAATACTAGTTGGAGATGTCAAAGCGACTTGTATTGAAGGAGCTGCAGGGGATGATTTCTTCTACGAGAGTCTTACTGCGCTGATTGACTTATTATGGCGCCGTTTAGCTGATGAGCAAAAGGAGGCCACACAGGGCAGATTGCCGATGATAAATCCAACAGCCTTTCATTCGTTGTATACGGGTGACAACTATAAAGACACATGTGAGAAACTGAAGGTACAGCCCTTCATCAACATTCCCGCAGAGTATTCCTTCGAATACCCTGCCAAAGAGATACTCAGCGCAATGCGAAAACGGTCGGAACATATTTCCAAATGCTCCGCCGATCATAAAGTCACAGACAATTCCGAGTTTTTGTCGCCTGACAAATCGAAGGCATTCATCCTTCTTAACGCACCACGACTCGCAAAACATATAACGGACGAGGAGAGAGATAATCGTGCCAAGCGGTATGAAGGCAAACAACAAAAGAATGTCCAGCTTGCTTTGAGTGTCTTGAAAGGCACAGCATCGCAGAAAGACCTTAGGACGGCGTCAATGGAGGTTGTCCTCATAGTAATCGATATTTTGCTTGATCAGAGTCCAAACGGACCCCCACCAAAGCCGCCGCCAAAAAGAAACCAAGTAACAAAAGCAAAGCAAGCGGCAAAAAGAATGAAAGCATCTGAAAAAGCAGTCAATGAGAAAACGAGCAGTGATGTTTCGGAGGCGCAGCCTCGGCTATTACCATTGTGGCACAGTCAACAGGACAGTATTGGTCAGGCATCCGGGATCATGAATGGCGGAAGCAACGCATACTACAATACTAGTACGTTTCAAAATGCGGCAATATGTACTATGAGTTGTGCTAATAAGCAACAGCGTTTCCCGAGGAGCAGGTTAACACAGCCTCAATCAGCATGCCGGCCGCAGGCGGCATCTCGACAGGGCTGGTGCCAGGCGGGAACATCGTGACGGACGAACGGCTGCCTCCAGGTGATTATGGAGATATAGGTGGAGGTATCATGGGCGGGCCTTACAGACCAAATGATGATGGTGCGCTGTTTGGTAGCTTCGATACCTCTGAAGCTGATACTGGTCTGCCGGATATGGACTGGGAGGATCTCGAGGGTTGGGCGCAAATGCTCTCGTGGAATGAGTCTGACGCCAATATCGGTCTGCCGTCAATATATTAGCCGCATACCAAAACGATTCTATACAGATCTTCTTGAGTACACTAAGATGGTAACATCAATTACACTGCCAACATCGACTTTCAGACTCGTTCCAACTCGTGCTACATTTCCAACCCTACATATCATATCTTCTGTACAGGCAAAGGCATCGTATGATATGGCACGGGGAGATGAAACCTCGTGCCTCCAAAAATAACCCACGTGTCTGCCTTGGTGGTGTCAAAAGTTTTAGCATCCGCACAATCTTTTTCCCTCGATACCCAAAGTGACACTGTATCGTGAGTCATTGGACTAAGAATGACAATTTGATTTGGGTCTATGAACTGCCGGTCTTGCTTTATTTGATCTGTAACAATAACCTTCGGCTGTTTCCTATTGCGTAAAGGTTCGAGTCCGTCTTGTTCAACCGCTCGCTTTATGTCGGTATGCTAAGGCATGTTAGCTCAAAACTTGAAGTTTTGGCACCGGGGACCACATTACCATTGACATTAGGTGTTCCGTGAATGTTTTGATGTCCCCTGTATCTTCGTATACCCATACATTTCCACCACGCTGGGCATCCGTGTATTTAGTTTGTTCTAAAGAGGAAAGGCTATCGACAATTCTATCGCGCAGCTTCTCGTCGATCTGGCCTATGTCAAGCCGCCTGCAGTAATTGTCTTGCGCGGTCATCGTGGCTGCCTCTGGACACCGTTAAAGTTGTTGGGTCAAGCTTGTGGTATTTATACACGACAGTAGTTATCTCCGTTGATGTTCAAGTCTCGACTAGCGGACCGTTGACTTTCAAAACTTGAATATGTATCTATGCGTCTGAAGATTCGTGGCACCGTATCGGACCCCTCATTGCTCAATATGAAGCAATGCCCAACCAAGTGGGGCAAATGTGCGGCGCTGCCCAATGGGCTCCTGATCTTCGCCCAGCAGCACAAGCTTAACGTTGCGAGTTGTTATCCATACATGGACTTGGATAAAACTTGTGACGTTCTGAATAACAAAAATTGTGTCATAGAAGGTGTTTTGTTGAGCAGCTGGATGGTATGAGCTGTTAAGAGCTGGCATGACATATCGAGTTGATCGGAGAGCAAGGAATGAATCTTGGTTTTCTATTCTAAGGAGTGACTATCAAAGCATAATTGAGCGAGAGCAAATGCTCCAGAACGCAACTGTCTGAAAGACGGTAGCCAAACACCGTTGGGTGATAAATTATTCCAAGAGGTGAATAACTTGATCCAGACATACCATCAAGTTGGTACACACTATTCATCATCAGAGTGGGAGTGTTCTCTAAACGGAGGAAGACCAGTAAGTGCAGATGACTCCTTCGGTCCATCAGCTCCCTCTTCCTCGTCGTACGCTGTTCCTTCTGTCCCTACATCGGTGTTGTGCGTCGAGCGTGTCGAGATAGAAGAGGGGGACTGGGTAGACCTGTTCCGGTGATGGCCAACGATGCGCTCTGTTGTTCTGCTCCCCGCATAATGTTCTGAGACAGACCTTATTAGTATAGCAATTCAATGAGATACTCTCCGAGGGGAAATCAATGATATCCATACCGTCAGGTTCTACCCCCGTATCACCATATGTGGTCGCACCTGTATCGCTCTTATCATCGGTATCTTGGGTAGTTGGAGCTAGAATACAAGATCAGTAATTATGTCTCGTGTAAACTTAACGGGCTATTACCTTCGCTGTCACTGGTGCGCTGATGTACTGCTAAACAAGATCAGCGTCAGCCAGGGAAGGGAAGTTGCACTCATATTCACTGTCTGCGTAATCAGAATTACGACTTTCATCTACCACTGGATGCGGCGAATATCTGGATCCAGGCGTACTGCTGAGCTCTGCATTGCCAGATCGTGAACCTGAAGATTCCCTGGTACTTGTCAGTCTTGCATAAGACAATGGGAGTATGAATCATTACCCAGCAGGTGATCCCGAGTGCCCACCAAGATAGTGATCAGAAGTGTGGGTTGACGGCTCCGAATTCTCCCCGCTTTGACCTGGTGGACAAACATACGGCGTGCTTGAAACTGGGCGGGGTGTTGGGGGAATGCGTTGCCTGTTATTATCAGCAAACTTGTTCATTCTCTACCTATGAATACTGGCATACTCTGCTTCACCGTTCTCTAACTTTGGTGTGTTGTATTCAGCCATTGTGGAGGATTGCGAAAAGGAACGAAAAATCTGTAGTCAAGTTGAGCGGACGAGAATCTTTGCGTCTAGGAGCTTCCACTGCCTTCGTGACTGAGATGGGTTCGACATTATATACTTTATACTACTGGATTCCTCTTCGCTAACCATTCCTTGTTCAACCAGTTTCAGAATCAATGTCTGCCTGCGTTATTCCGTCCAACTTGTGAATGGACTAGACGGACTCTTTCAGATATTTGCTAGCATCCCTCATGCAAGCCACATCACCAGCTGGATCAGTTTTCTTGGTCTTCCTGTCATATAGTGTGGAAACTACTGACGCTAAAGACTAAATCGAGATATTATTCATGGGTCCAAGTTTTATAGAGCAATGATGCGCCCCGTGAAAGTACTAATAAGGCAAGAAACAAAATACGTTGTCTTCCTCTATTAGGTAAAATGACAAATCTTGTTTATAAGACTAGTTACCTGATTTAGTAAATCGCAATTTGTGTGTTATTGCCTTTTAAGGGGTTATGCTATTCGTGCGGCAGAAAATCGTTATTCGTGCGGTACTAGACCCGATTGAAATAAGTGGCTAGTTAGCTATACTCTATTATATATTTTTATATACACTTATATAAAAAAGTCTATAATTTAAAAAATTAAGCTAAATTTAATTAAAATCTAACGTAAGCTTAAGTAAGTGTTTACTATTAATTAGAGTATTAGAAGTAGTATAGTTTTATAGTTTTTAGTGAATTTTAGCATAGTATAGTATTGTGTAATTTTACTATATTATATTACATTTTAAAAATTAGTGTAATATATAATATTAATTAATTTATAAGCTATTATTAGCTAATATAATTACTGTTATTAGCTAATATAATTAATAAGCTATTATTAGCTAATATGATTAATAAGCTAAAATAAAGCTAAATTAACTTACTAATATTAGTATTAATAAGTAAAGATTAATTAGCATAAATAAGCTAAAAATAAAGATTAAAAAACTAATAAAAATAAAATAAAAGGGAATTATAAGAGAATTATATTATGT